TCATTAACCCTCACAGAGCTATACAGCAGCCCTAATCATTAAACCCTCACAGAGCTATACAGCAGCCATTCATCATTAACCCACACAGGACATACAGCAGCCCTCATCATTAACCCACACAGAGACATACAGCAGCCCTCATCATTAACCCACACAGAGACATACAGCAGCCATCATCATTAACCCACACAGAGACATACAGGCAGGCCCTCATCAGTAACCCACACAGAGACCATAGAGCAGCCCTCATCATTAACCCACACAGAGACATACAGCAGCCCTCATCATTAACCCACACAGAGACATACAGCAGCCATCATCATTAACCCACACAGAGACATACAGCAGCCCTCATCATTAACCCTCACAGAGCTATACAGCAGCCCTCATCATTAACCCTCACAGAGCTATACAGCAGCCCTCATCATTAACCCTCACAGAGCTATACAGCAACCCTCATCATTAACCCACACAGAGCTATACAGCAGCCCTCATCATTAACCCTCACAGAGCTATACAGCAGCCCTCATCATTAACCCTCACAGAGCTATACAGCAGCCCTCATCATTAACCCTCACAGAGCTATACAGCAGCCCTCATCATTAACCCACACAGAGCTATACAGCAGCCCTCATCATTAACCCTCACAGAGCTATAAAGCAGCCCTCATCATTAACCCTCACAGAGCTATACAGCAGCCCTCATCATTAACCCACACAGAGCTATAAAGCAGCCCTCATCATTAACCCTCACAGAGCTATACAGCAGCCCTCATCATTAACCCTCACAGAGCTATACAGCAGCCCTAATCATTAACCCTCACAGAGCTATACAGCAGCCCTCATAATTAACCCACACAGAGACATACAGCAGCCCTCATCATTAACCCACACAGAGACATACAGCAGCCCTCATCATTAACCCACACAGAGTCACACAGCAGCCCTCATCATTAACCCACACAGAGACATACAGCAGCCCTCATCATTAACCCACACAGAGACATACAGCAGCCCGCATCATTAACCCACACAGAGACATACAGCAGCCATCATCATTAACCCACACAGAGACATACAGCAGCCCCTCATCATTAACCCACACAGAGACATACAGCAGCCCTCATCATTAACCCACACAGAGACATACAGCAGCCCTCATCATTAACCCACACAGAGACATACAGCAGCCATCATCATTAACCCACACAGAGACATACAGCAGCCCTCATCATTAACCCTCACAGAGCTATACAGCAGCCCTCATCATTAACCCTCACAGAGCTATACAGCAGCCCTCATCATTAACCCTCACAGAGCTATACAGCAGCCCTCATCATTAACCCACACATAGCTATACAGCAGCCCTCATCATTAACCCTCACAGAGCTATAAAGCAGCCCTCATCATTAACCTCACAGAGCTTACAGCAGCCCTATCATTAACCTCACAGAGCTATACAGCGCCCTCATCATTAACCCTCACAGAGCTATACAGCAGCCCTCATCATTAACCCTCACAGAGCTATACAGCAGCCCTCATCATTAACCCTCACAGAGCTATACAGCAGCCCTCATAATTAAACCCACACAGAGACATACAGCAGCCCTCTCATTAACCCACACAGAGACATCAGCAGCCCTAATCATAACCCACACAGAGACATACAGCAGCCCTCATCATTAACCCCACACAGAGACATACAGCAGCCCTCATCATAACCCACACAGAGACATACAGCAGCCCTCATCATTAACCCACACAGAGACACTACAGCAGCCCCTCATCATTAACCCACACAGAGACTACAGCAGCCCTCATCATTAACCCACATAGAGACATACAGCAGCCCTCATCATTAACCCCACACGACGACAATTACAGCAGCCCTCGTCATTAACCACACAGAGACATACAGCAGACCTCATCATTAACACTCATGAGGACATCAGCAGCCCTCATCATAACCCTCACAGAGCTATTACAGCAGCCCTCCATCATTAACCCACACAGAGCGATACATCAGCCCTCATCATTAACCCACACAGAGACATACAGAAGCCCTCATCATAACCCTTCACAGAGCTATACAGCAGCCTTCATCATTAACCCTCACAGAAGCTTCTCAGCAGCCCTCATCATGAAACCCACACAGAGCTATACATCAGCCTAATCATTAACCACACAGCGACATACAGCAGCCCTCATAATTAAAAAACCAAGCTATACATCAGCCATCATCATTAACCCACACAGGACATACAGCAGCCCTCATCATTAACCCCACAGAGACAGTTACAGCAGCCCTCATCCATTAACCATCACCAGAGCTATACAGCCCAGCCCATCATCATTAACCCACACAGAGCTATACATCAGCCCTCATCATTAACCCACACAGAGCTATACAGCAGCCCTCATCATTAACCCACACAGAGCTATACATCAGCCCTCATCATTAACCCACACAGAGCTATACATCAGCCCTCATCATTAACCCACACAGAGCTATACAGCAGCCCTCATCATTAACCCACACAGAGACATACAGCAGCCCTCATCACAGAGACATACAGCAGCCCTCTGAGGTAACGTTGACTCATGTTTTATAAACCTGCATGTTATGACTGGATCCCTTCTACTCTTATTGGCCTGCTCACACACAGACACACAACTCCATCCACATCATGCATTATTTCACAGGCCTGGGCAAACTGCCTCTCTGCATCTACACTCAATTCCCCCTCACAACTGGTCCCTGATTTTGGGGTGTATCAGCTCTGAAGGGGATGGATTAGGGTTAGAACTAGGGAAGCTACTGGTCTGATCCTAATGTACTTGGTAAGAACAGAGGGTAACATCAGCTTTAACCCTCCTCCTTTTCATTCCACAATCTCAGATCAAGCTGACTTCGTAGAACTTGGAGCCTGATTCCCACTGATAGGCAGACACTGCCCTAGTGTGGCAGCAGGGTGTAACAGCAGAGCATTTGAATCACTCAGGTGTCAGGAATGGGGAACATGGTGAACGTACAGATCTAGGTCGGGTTTCAATCCGTGGAGCATTGTGGACAATGCGCCATTTAAAGGTATTTCCGATTGAGCCGACATGTGAAGCTTTCACCGTGAATGTGAACGTGGGAACAGATCGATAGATTGGATAGAATCCCGGCCTTACACCTTGATATATGTAGGCTTTTACATGTGTGGTGATGGGGCCCAACCAATGGTGTTCATGTGTGGTGATGGGGCCAAACCATTGGTGTTTATATGTGGTGATGGGGCCCAACCAATGGTGTTTATGTGTGGTGATGGGGCCAAACCATTGGTGTTTATATGTGGTGATGGGGCCCAACCAATGGTGTTTATGTGTGGTGATGGGGTCAAACCAATGGTGTTTATGTGTGGTGATGGGGCCCAACCAATGGTGTTCATATGTGGTGATGGGGCCCAACCAATGGTGTTTATGTGTGGTGATGGGGCCAAACCATTGGTGTTTATATGTGGTGATGGGGCCCAACCAATGGTGTTTATGTGTGGTGATGGGGTCAAACCAATGGTGTTTATGTGTGGTGATGGGGCCCAACCAATGGTGTTCATGTGTGGTGATGGGGCCAAACCATTGGTGTTTATATGTGGTGATGGGGCCCAACCAATGGTGTTTATGTGTGGTGATGGGGTCAAACCAATGGTGTTTATGTGTGGTGATGGGGCCCAACCAATGGTGTTCATATGTGGTGATGGGGCCCAACCAATGGTGTAGATGTCTCTCTACAAACATATTCAAGTACATCCAGAAGACTGCATGTTTCTCTTCTAATGAGATTTATGGTGGTCCATATGTTCCTGGTTTTGGAGATGTGTGTGGGAGATTTAGGAGGGGGAGACGTGCACCCTGTCTGGATCCCGGAGGGGTCCTGTTATTTCAGTCCGAACCCCGTTGGCTCCTCCTAAGGGTGAGATGTCTTGATATGAGATATGATACCACACCACATACCAGAAAACGGTACAACAACTCTGACTAATAGATCAACATTTAATATATTTGAACAGTACAAAAATACAAAGCCACTGTTTAAAAAGGATAGCGATGCAGTCATATATACACAAAGGAAGTGACATTTTACACTGTAGGCACATTCAAAAAAAGATTTACACATTTCCTCCAGCAATCACAGTATCATTTTCTGTTTTACTCGTTGTCTTGTTGGACAAAGAGTGACATTGTCTGTTTCCTAACTCCAGTTTACATGGTCTAGCTCCAGTACTTGCCATACAGGTCTAGGATCTTAATTTGATATGCAGGAAATATAAAACTTGACATGTATTTGAGGTTTAAAAAGGCTTCTGAAGTTTATAATTTCCACTTTGAAATTTCAGACTTGATTTTCCCTTACGAAAAATGTATCAACCCTTACTAAAATGTCTATTAATTATAATCTGCATAATAATTTACATTTCCTGTTGCTGCAGGATTATTTTCCTGCTGTAGCAAACCGTCTCAAATTAAGATCCTACATCTGTAGTAAAACATTTATGGCAACAACAAAAAAACTAACATAAAGCCAGTGCAATTATAATACAATGTAACAACAAAATAATAACAATGTATTTCTCTTCTCACCAAGACAGCAGATTCCTAATCATGGCTCAGGATGAAGCTGGTTGTGTACGTAAGAAAAAGATCAACCATTTGATTTATAACAATAAAAACAGTGAATCCTAGTGCTGAGTAATCAGGGGTTGACGCTACGGTAACCGTTGATATTCATTAGCTGATGTGGCATATATCTGAGGTGGCATTGATCTGTTTGTCTTCCATCCAAAGGGGTGCATGGTGAAACTGGGTTCTTTAGTTGGAGCAATGGAGGCCATATTTGAGTTGTACTTTCCGCTCATGGCACTCGGTGGGCTTAGGTCCAGTCATCATTGTGGCTCAGATGGTTATGCGTTTGGTACGGTCCAGTCCAGTCTTGTCCAGTCCAAACCGGTTCAGTACTGGTCAGATGGCAGACTGTAGTTTGGTCAGGTTCCTCTGGTGCATGCTGTGGTGGCGAACTAACTCATCAGACCTGGCAAACTTCTTCTGACAGCTGGACCAGCGGCATGTAAAGGGCTTCTCACCTGAGAGGAGAAGAAGAGAGGAGAGAAGAGAAGGAGAGAAGGAGAAGAGAGGAGAGGAGGAGAAGAGAGGATAAGAAGGATAGGAGGAAGAAGAGGAGAGGAGAGACTACGTCGATCGAGGATCGATTATACTACGGAGGAGAGGAGCGAGGAGATATAGTCTAAGAGACTGTTTACATCGAGTTCTTACTCTCTCACGCGCTTTCCGTCATCTTCTATTCTCTTGCTTCTTCTGCTCCCTCGCTCCGGCTTCTGCGCTCTCCTTCCTCTCTCTCCTCTCTCTCTTCTCTCTCTCTTCTCTTCTTCTCTCTCTGCCTAGTCTCCCTCGTGCCTGTCTCCTTTCTCCTTCGAGTGCGCTTGCATTCCTTTTGCTGTTTGTTGAGTCCCATAACAATAAACCTAATCTGTTATTGAAATCTACAATGAATAAAAGCTTCATAATTGTATACACTTGTTAGCATGGTTACTAAGGTAATCATTAGGTCTACTGGTTATTTAATGTGTTGTATTTCATTAGGATCACCATTAGATGGTGCTAACACAGCAGCTACTCTTCCTGGGGTCCACATCATAGAAGCAGTGTAGTGACCAGGATTATTACCAGTGTATAAAAGCAGAGGAACAAGTAGAAAATAAAGGTATACGCACTTGTTTTACCTGTATGTGTCCGAGTGTGTGTCTTAAGATGGTCTGACCGTGAAAACTTTCTCTGACACGTCTCGCACTGGAATGGTTTCACTCCTACGTAGAGAGAGGGGGAGAGACGGGGAGAGAGGGGGAGAGAGGGGGAGAGAGGGAGAGGGAGAAGGGAGGGAGGGAGAGGACAGGTTGGGTTAAGAGTTTATAAAGATTTTTTTCAACTCTGGGTAGAGAGACAGAGAGAGAAACGCATAAGAAGTGGGAGAGGATTGAGAGAATAGAGAAAAGGAGAAGATAGAGAGAGAGATATAGAGAAGAGAGAGAGAAAGAGAGAGAAAAGAGAAGATATAGAGAGGAGGTTTTGAGAAGAGGAGAGAGAGGAAGAGAGAAGAAGAAGAGAGAGAGAGAGAGAGGAGAGAGAGAGAGAGAGAGAGAGAGAGAGAGAGAGAGAGATCTGACCTGTGTGTCTGCGTTGGTGTCTCTTCAGTTGATCTGATCTGGAGAATCTCCGTCCGCAGTCTGTGAAGTCACACTGATACGGCTTTTCTCCTACAATCATCATCATCATCACCACCATCATCATCACCACCACCATCATCATCATCATTATCACCACCATCATTATCACCACCATCATCATCACCATCATCATCACCACCATCATCATCATCATCACCATCATGATCACAACCTCCAGGCCAGTGAGAAGCATGTAAAGCAAAGTACTGTATGTGGGGTGTACAGTATGTTGTCTATGTAGGGTGTACAGTATGTTGTCTATGTGTACAGTATATTGTATATGTGGGGTGTACAGTATATTGTATATGTGGGGTGTACAGTATATTGTCTATGTGGGGTGTACAGTATATTGTCTATGTGGGGTGTACAGTATATTGTCTATGTGGGGTGTACAGTATATTGTCTATGTGGGGTGGGCAGTATATTGTCTATGTGGGGTGTACAGTATATTGTATATGTGGGGTGTACAGTATATTGTCTATGTGGGGTGTACAGTATATTGTCTATGTGGGGTGTACAGTATGTTGTCTATGTGTACAGTATATTGTCTATGTGGGGTGTACAGTATATTGTCTATGTGGGGTGTACAGTATATTGTCTATGTGGGGTGGGCAGTATATTGTCTATGTAGGGTGTACAGTATATTGTATATGTGGGGTGTACAGTATATTGTCTATGTGGGGTGTACAGTATATTGTCTATGTAGGGTGTACAGTATATTGTCTATGTAGGGTGTACAGTATATTGTCTATGTGGGGTGGGCAGTATATTGTCTATGTAGGGTGTACTGACCTGTGTGTTTCCTGCCGTGCATCTGCAGGTGGGAAAGTTTGAAGTATCTCTTATTGCAGCCGGGGTAGGCACATACAAACGGACGCTTCTCATTGGTCTCTGATGACCTCACCACAGACGGCGTGATACCAGGCACCCGCCGCACATCCTGTGAGAGAGAGAGAGAGAGAGAGAGAGAGAGAGTTGATCACAGAGTGTGTGTGTGTTTGTGTGCGTTGGTGTGTCTCGGACCCTGACCTGTAGTCCTCTGAAGACGCCGTGTGTGTGTTTGTGTGTGTTTGTGTGCGTTGGTGTGTCTCGAACCCTGACCTGTAGTCCTCTGAAGACACTGTGTGTGTGTTTGTGTGTGTTTGTGTGCGTTGGTGTGTCTCGGACCCTGACCTGTAGTCCTCTGAAGACACTGTGTGTGTGTTTGTGTGTGTTTGTGTGCGTTGGTGTGTCTCACACCCTGACCTGTAGTCCTCTGAAGACGCTGTGTGTGTGTTTGTATGTGTTTGTGTGCGTTGGTGTGTCTCGGACCCTGACCTGTAGTCCTCTGAAGACACTGTGTGTGTGTTTGTGTGTGTTTGTGTGCGTTGGTGTGTCTCACACCCTGACCTGTAGTCCTCTGAAGACGCTGTGTGTGTGTTTGTATGTGTTTGTGTGCGTTGGTGTGTCTCGGACCCTGACCTGTAGTCCTCTGAAGACACTGTGTGTGTGTTTGTGTGTGTTTGTGTGCGTTGGTGTGTCTCGGACCCTGACCTGTAGTCCTCTGAAGACGCTGTGTGTGTATTTGTGTGTGTTTGTGTGCGTTGGTGTGTCTCGGACCCTGACCTGTAGTCCTCTGAAGACGCTGTGTGTGTGTTTGTGTGTGTTTGTGTGCGTTGGTGTGTCTCGGACCCTGACCTGTAGTCCTCTGAAGACGCTGTGTGTGTATTTGTGTGTGTTTGTGTGCGTTGGTGTGTCTCGGACCCTGACCTGTAGTCCTCTGAAGACGCTGTGTGTGTATTTGTGTGTGTTTGTGTGCGTTGGTGTGTCTCGGACCCTGACCTGTAGTCCTCTGAAGACACTGTGTGTGTGTTTGTGTGTGTTTGTGTGCGTTGGTGTGTCTCGGACCCTGACCTGTAGTCCTCTGAAGACACTGTGTGTGTGTTTGTGTGTGTTTGTGTGCGTTGGTGTGTCTCGGACCCTGACCTGTAGTCCTCTGAAGACACTGTGTGTGTGTTTGTGTGTGTTTGTGTGCGTTGGTGTGTCTCGGACCCTGACCTGTAGTCCTCTGAAGACGCCGTGTGTGTGGATGTGGTACTGTGCACTACAGCTGAGGACCACCGGAGGAGGGGGGGCCGTGGGATCACTCTCATATCCTGTCCCATGACTGTAAGGGGAACAGACATGAGGCCGGGGTGAGCACAATGGAGTACCATGACAACAAGACTAATCTAACAACCTGCTACTCTAACAGTCAGTGATGTCACACTTCTTCCAGTCATTCCTGTTGGAGTGAGAGGGAGGGTGGGGGAGTACAGTCAGATATGTGATGCATCTATCTACGAGAGAGAGAGAGAGAGAGAGAGAGAGAGAGAGAGAGAGAGAGAGAGAGAGAGAGAGAGAGAGAGAGAGAGAGAGAGAGAGAGAGAGAGAGAGAGAGAGAGAGAGAGAGAGAGAGAGTACTCTGATCCCCTTCCTTCTCTCCCCCTGAGCAACAGACCAAATCTACCCTCCCACACCCTCCTCCCTCCTCCCTCCTCCCTCCTCCCTCCACCTCCACCTCCACCTCCACCTCCCTCCTACCACCTCCCACATCCCTCCTCCCATCCTCCTCTTCCTCCTCCTCCATTACCTCCCTGACTATGGTCAAGGCTACGCTAAAGAAATATACTACAGGAAGCTAAACACACACATACACACAACACACACAACACACATTGATGGACCATGCAAATAGGAATGCATAGTTGATTCAGCTTGGTACCTTTTGATGGTGGACAGTGTGTTTGCAGGGTTCCATGCTACACACTCCAGCTGAGAGGCCATTTGGTACAGGTTATCACTGAGGAAAACACACACAGACAGAAAGATTACAGCTCCACATCATTTACTGTACATACCATTAAAGCTAACAAAAGCTTAATCTTGGTTAACCCAGAACTCAAATCTTGCATAATTTGGTTTACATAGTCTGTCCACGAGACATTAACAAAAGTTATACTGATATAATTTGATTGATTGACTGAAATCAGTTGAACAGAGAAGAGACAGAGGGGGTGCATAATGGCTGGACAATTTGCTTTTGCGGTCAGAAAGCCCCCTCCCTCCCTCCCTCCCTCCCTCATTCCCTTGTTTTTGGATAAGGAAAATGAAGATACCCCACATATTTCCTTTATGAACACATCCAGTCCACTCCTCAAAGAGCTCATTAAAAACACTGGGCTGTGAAGCCATTAGTCACATTGGCAGATGATTACACTGGCTACAACACACACACACACAGTCATACACACACACACACATTCATACACACACACACACACATTCATACACACACACACACACACACACACACAGACGTGACACACACACACAGGCAGCAAGGGTGAGTGTGCCCGTGCCTAGTACATGGTGGACCAGTGCATGACATCACTCTGTCCTCACAGTATCATTGGGTGTGTGTGGGTGTGTTGGGTTTTGATCTGATGGTTCCCAGCTCTGGGATGGGAGATGGAAGTCCTGGCTATAAAGGGAGAGGGGGAATCTTCTCATCCTGTCTTATCAGATCCTGTTCCTGTCGTTTTGGTTCCTTCTGTTCCCCCTCTCCAAAAGCAAACTGAGGTCAGCGTTTGAAGAATCCTGGCTCAGTTTGCCTGCTAGATGTTTTGGGTTAAATGAAATCCCCCCATGTTACAGAAAAACCAATGGACTGACGTGAGTCCTCGCAGCCTCTCCTTTCCTCTCAACTCGGCCTCTTGTTCCTGTTCTCTAGCCCCTCTTCTCTCCTTTCATCCACCACCTCACCTCTCTCCTCCTCTCTCCTCTCCATCTCCTCTCCCTCTCCTCGCCTTCCATCCACCACCTCACCTCTCTCCTCCTCTCTCCTCCTCCCCCTCTCCTCCTCTCTCCTCCTCCCCCTCTCCTCACCTTCCATCCACCACCTCACCACCTCACCTCTCTCCTCCTCTCTCTCCTCTTCTCTCCTCCTTCCCCTCTCCTCGCCTTCCATCCACCACCTCACCTCTCTCCTCCTCTCTCCTCCTCTCTCCTCCTCCCCCTCTCCTCGCATTCCATCCATCCACCACCTCACCTCTCTCCTCCTCTCTCCTCCTCTCCCTCTCCTCGCCTTCCATCCACCACCTCACCTCTCTCCTCCTCTCTCCTCCTCTCCTCTCCTCTCCCTCTCCTCTCCTTTCATCCACCACCTCACCACCTCACCTCTCTCCTCCTCTCTCCTCCTCTCTCCTCCTCTCCCTCTCCTCTCCTTCCATCCACCACCTCACCACCTCACCTCTCTCCTCCTCTCTCCTCCTCTCTCCTCCTCTCCCTCTCCTCTCCTTCCATCCACCACCTCACCACCTCACCTCTCTCCACCTCCCTCCTCTTCTCCCTCTCCCTCTCCTCTCCTCCCCTACACTCCCCCATTTCACATGTTGTCTTTCCTCTCACATTCCTTATATTTTACAACTGTATATATATATAGCTGATATAGCTCAGCTCTGTGTACAGTCTCACACGTACACCTCCTTCCTACCCTGGTGATCTCACTTCCCTCCTACCCTGGTGATCTCACTTCCTTCCGTCGGTCTTAGCTTCCTCCTCCCTCTCAAAGACAGACTGACATTTGAGGAGCTCATCAAAGGCCATTGGAAATATATATATTTTTTATCTCTATGGGACTTCCTGGTTTAAATATAAATACAGGACAATAAATACAAGTATCTATCTCTGATCATCACTTGAGTCTGATCCAAAATAACTATGTAGACAAAATGAACCATAGCATCCCAGCAAAGGTAGCACAAACATGTACAGTCCAATGTAATGATATGGGAGTCAGGCATATGGATCTCAAGCTATAAAGACCCAAGGTGATGAGGAGGTACCTGTTATAGTTCCTCAGCAGTAGAGCCTGGCTGGTTGGACAGTTCTCTGGGGGGGGGTGGCAACCAAACATAGTGGGAGGGGCAAGGTACTGCTGGTCACCTGCATAGCATACAGTAAAGAAATCAGACAAACAAACCAATGAATTAGCATAAAGACCTGTTGGACAGTAGTTACAGCGCTATGAAACCACATGCTCAACATAACACCAGATTGGTCTGTCAACAGTTTTACCAGCTGACTATGTATGCTGCCATATCCCCAGCAGTTATAGAGAAACGCTCTCTCTCACCCCCCAAACACACAGACATACAAACACACACACACACACACACACACACACAAACAGACATACAGTACATGCAAACATACGCACACCCACACAAACACCCATAAAAACACATTTCCTCTAAACCAGGGGTGTCAAACTCATTTTAGCTCAGGGGCCACATGGAGGAAAATCTATTCCCAAGTGGGCCGGACCGGAAAAATCATGGTATATATAACTTAAAAACAACAACTTCAGATTGTTTTCTTTGTTTTAATACGATCAACATACAACATAAAGCTGGAGCCTGAGGACAGTGTGTCCAAAATAGTACAAGCACAACATCACTATTAATCATAAAACACCTCAAGTTATTTGAAAGTTCTGAGGACAAAGAACACACAAACACACAATGCCTCAGTGATTCACAGAAGTATATCACAGATCACAGAACTATATCAGGGTGTCATTTCTCAGGCAGAAATGTAGATAAAAATAATGAAATCCTGTTCCCCAAACAAGTGCAAGAACCACAGAGTCAAGAATAGGTTAAATATACAAATAAAATAAAATCAATTAAAAACAATAGCACATCAGCTGTATGGACAACTTTGTTGCGCCCTTGCAGCTGTTTGTTCAAGTTATTCAGGTGCTCTGTAACATCCACCATAAATGCAAGGTCCGGCATCCATTCTGCGGAATGAAATTCTAACACTGGTTTGCCCTTTTCTTCCATGAACTGTTCAATTTCTTCTCGTAAATCAAAGAAACGCCTCAGCACAGCACCTCGGCTTAACCATCTTACCTCAGTGTGGTATGGCAGGCCATAGATGTGGTCTTTCTCTCTGAGAAGGCTGTCAAACTGACGGTGATTTCGGATGAAATTAACAGTTTGGATGACCACCTTCATGACGTTATCCATCTTTAATGACTTGCAACACAAAGCCTCCTGGTGCAAAATACAGTGAAAAGTAAAAAAAATCACGTCCTCCATTTGCAGATTGCACTTTCTCTCTGAACTTTGTCACAACGCCTGCTTTTTTCCCGATCATTGAGGGCGCACCATCTGTAGCCAGGCTGACAGCGCGGGACCAGTCCACTCCGACCCTGTCCAGCGTGCTGATGAGTGCGGTAAAAATATCAGCTGCTGTCGTTGTATCTGTCATCGGCACCAACTCCACGAACTCCTCGGTGACGGTCAATGTGTCATCAACTCCGCGGATGAAAAAATGGCCAGTTGTGCAACATCTGTAATGTCCGTGCTTTCATCAATTGCAACCGAAAACGCAATAAATGACTTTACTTTTTGCTTCAACTGGCTGTCCAAATCCACTGAAAGATCGGAAATCCTGTCTGCAACTGTGTTTCTTGTCAGGCTGATATTTGCAAAAGCCTGCCGCTTTTCAGGGCACACAATCTCCGCTGCCTTCATCATGCATGTTTTTACAAATTCACCCTCACTAAATGGTTTTGAAGCCACTGCGATTTCATTAGCAATGAGGTAGCTAGCTTTCACTGCAGCGTCACTGATGTCTCGGCTGTGAGTAAACACAGACTGCTGTTTCTTCAGACCCGCCAACAGTTCATTCACCTTCTCTCATCTCGCTGTCCTTGAAAGTTGTCATATTTGTTGGCATGAAGACTCACACAGTGGCGACGAAGGTTATATTCTTTCAGCACTGCAACATGCTCTGAACACACCAAACATACAGCTTTCCCATTCAATTCCGTGATTAAATAGGATGACCATTTTTCTTGGAACACTCTGCACTCTGCGTCCACTTTTCTCTTTTTTGACAGAGACATATTGGGGCAATGAGGGTGCCAAAGCACATAATGTTAAAAGTAGAAGCCGTAATAAATATCGCGGGCAAAACAAAGTAGCTCATTGGCTGCACGTGCTTGACCTACTTGCTCTGCCCCGGTATAAACAGTTTGCTTGCTTAACACAATTGCTATTGCGCCATCCAGTGGACGCAATTGGAACAGCAGTTTATTTTATTGAAAAATTGCAGCGCATTTTTATACTTTACCTTTTTTCTTCTTTTTTTTCTTTCTTTTTTTATCATCTTGCGGGCCGGATTATACCCGTTTGCGGGCCTGATCCGGCCCGCGGGCCGTACGTTTGACACCCCTGCTCTAAACAATTATCAAAACACCAGTCCTCCCAGAGGTGGTAAAACAATCAATCTCCTTTTAAAGGATCTACATAGTTCCTTCTCTGGTTCAGTTGTGGATTGGTCCCCTGATGGTGGTCAACATTCCAAAAAAGTCTCTCATAAAGCTGTTTCCTTAAGTTATCATTTCCAGAGCCAGTATATTCATTTGACCAAAATGAACAGAAAACATACGCAGCTTTGAATAAGAGCATTGCGAGAGGTAGTGTTAAAAACAGAGAGAGAGATTGAGGGGAGATAGGGAGAGAGAATGGATGATAGTAATTTATAGCCCTGCAACCTCTGGGTGACTTCCTTACTAACCCTGCAGAGACCTCAGAGTCCTCATTGTTTGTGAGGTTAACTTTCACCTGCTGCACGTTCACAAATACTAAAACACACACACGCTATCATACACACAGGTGGACAGGAAGTGTTAAGGACAGTGATAGTTACCCATGGTAGTCGGAGGGGACAGGGTGTCCTCGTGTTTGAAGGAATGGTTGGAGAACTGAGGGGAGTGGTGAGACGGAGTGTGACCATAGCTGGGAGCCCCGTCCAGACCTACTGTCCCATAACCTACAGAGAAAAGACAGATTATAAAGACAATAGTTTCTCAGTTTCATCATTATGGCAGCATTTTGGAGGAAACTGTGAGTCTCCAGGAGCCGGACGGATATCTGAATCCCCATAGCAGCGGCTCTAAGTCCCTGGCAACATCACAGTAGTAAGTTTATCACACTACTGAATTCTGCCTCACTGGAAGGTATTAATTCACGGTTTCAGTAAAGCTGAAGAGGAAAGTTGGCATCCAGAGAATATGAAGATCAGTAAATCTAAGGACAAAGTGGTATGTGTGTCTGCACTTGCTCATACACACAAACGCATGCACACACACACTCACACACACACGCACACACACACACTCACACACACACTCGCACACACACACACGCACACACACACACACACCCACACACACCCACACACACCCACACACACACTCTCACCCAAACATGACATTAGCAGGACAAGAGTCAAGGGGAGTGTTGGACAGTTCCTGAGGAGACTGACTCATCTACACGTCTCTAAATCACTGGAGCCATTAAAGTCCTGCACTGACCCTCAAACCACTTCATCAAAAACTACTTTCCACAGAATAAACAAACTCTCAGTGTTCAGTGGGTCTGAGACTCACATTACCAATAACACAAGCTAAACGCTATATCAGACTCACATTATCACTCACATGGGCTAAACGCTATATCAGACTCACATGACCAATAACACAAGCTAAACGCTATATCAGACTCACATGACCAATAACACAGGCTAAACGCTATATCAGACTCACATTACCAATAACATTTACATTTTAGTAGACGCTCTTATCCAGAGCGACTTACAGTTAGTGAGTGCATACATGTTTATTTTTTTTATTTTTTCATACTGGAATCGAACCCACAACCCTGGCGTTGCAAATGCCATGCTCTACCAACTGAGCTAAATCCCTGCCGGCCATTCCCTCCCTTACCCTGGACGACGCTGGGCCAATTGTGCGCCGCCCCATGGGTCTCCCGGTCGCGGCCGGCTACGACAGAGCCTGGATTCAAACCAGGATCTCTAGTGGCACAGCTAGCACTGCGATGCAGAGCCTTAGACCACTGCGCCACTCGAGAGACAATAACACAGGCTAAACGCTATATCAGACTCACATGACCAATCACACAGGCTAAACCCTATATGACTAATGGAAGTATGAAACAATACTGAAAATAGACTTTCTTTGTTGACAAATAATAATGTTTATTGCTGTTGTCAAATTTGATAAAGTCTCAATAATAGCACACAGGAAACAAAGAAATTAAATATAAATTCAGATAAATATCTGTTAAACATTCCCCTCTTATCTTCTGGGGTCAGATCTTGGGGGAACAAGACCCAAAATACTATTGGGACTAATAAAGAAACCCGTTAGTCAGCGCTTGTGTCATTTCAACATTTGTTTTTAAATGAAAATAATGAATAATATGGGAAATTCTGAAATTGGAGAGCAATACAGTCCCTAGATATTTTTTTAGGCTTTGTGTAAATCTTGGAAGAAACATCTTGACCCGATATGTCATTATGATTTAGAAAAGCCTGTTTTGGAGCGGAGCATTGCAATTTGGGCTCAGGCCATGTTTCTCCATTGGGCGGAAAAGTGCTCTCAAGGTCTTGATAGTAAAGTAAGGCAAAGTGTTAGTCTGTAAAAAAATGTGTTTGAATTTGATGTGTTTTTGAGGGAAACACCCAAACATTATCACACACAGAACACATAACATCAAATGCTACAACATTCCAGAAATCCTAAGAATCAGGCGTGTGTGTTTTCACGTGTGTATGTGCGCGTGCATGTGTGTGTGTGTGTGTGTGTGTGTGCGTGCATGAATGAGTGCTGCGTGCATTAGTGCGTGCTGTGCGTACGTGTGTTATCAATTTCCATGGCACAGACAGTGACGGTCCAAGGTAATGTCCTTTTCCCACGCCCTGCATGGCTCCTATACTGCTACCTTTACTAGTCAACATCCTCACACCTCTGAAGAATAAACGCTCCGACTTTAAACAACTTATAAAGGCTTTATATAGCACACATAAAGGCTTCATAAGCACTACATAAACGCTTCACAAATCATCTATAAAATTATCTCATACTCTGTAAATGGTGTATGAACATGCATAGTGCGTTATGTCACATTTGGCAATTCAACCTACAATGGTTTTGTCACCCTTTATACACCTTCTATAGAGTATGACATACGCTTATACATTATTTGTGAAGCATTTACGTAGTGCTTATGAAGCCTTTATGTACTGCTTATGAAGCCTTTATGTATGGTATATAAAGCCTTTATAATGTGTACTTTGTTTAAGGTGGGACCGAATAAACAGTAACATGACTGTAAATAGACACAGTAAGAAACTGTACAACTAGACAAATTATACGGGAAAATGTTGTCTTCCAAACAAATTCATTTAAATCAGTTTAACATTATGATATAAATATTTGTATTTGATCATTTGTCATTATACTGCATTAGCATTTTTGTTTGTAAAAAAAGATGATTACGTTGTTTTGAATGAGGGGAAAACACTAATAATGTAGCTAAACTGGGAAAATGTTGCATCATATTAATTCCTGACATAATGGACTGAATCCTAATTTGAGATTAGTGTGCATGGTAGGCCTATCTTTCAAATGCACATCAATATTGTATTTACTCCATCATCTCAGCTACTGGTTCGGTACATTATGAATTTGAATTGGAGTTGAACATTTAATTATGGAAAAGTGAACATGAAATTGTATTATAAACTGGGTGGTTCGAGCCCTGAATGCTGATTGGCTGAAAGACGTGGTATATCAGAGCGTATACCATGGGTATGACAAAACGTTTATTTTTACTGCTCTAATTACATTGGTAACCAGTTTATAATAGCAATAAGGCACCTCAGGGGTTTGTGATATATGGCCAAAATACCATGGCTAAGGGCTGTGTCCTGGCACTACACGTTGCTCCGTGCCTAGACAACATTTTATATTATAAATAGATTTTGTGGACCAACAACTTTATCATGCTTATTATCATAGATATAATATTTTTGTACCAGCCACCACATCTATGAGGTAGAATATGTGTCTGTCGTTGACAACATTATTTTGTGATAGCTAGGTAAAAACAGATTCAGTTCATTATGTCATGGATTAATATGATGTAACAATGTCCCCGTTTACATTATTTAAAAAAAATTATAATGATTTTTTACAAACACAAATGTAAATTCAGTATGATGAGAAATGATCAAATTAACTTAAATAGCTGATGGTTTGAAATTAGTTGAATAAAAAATAAGACGGTTTAAAAAAATACTGTTGATAATTACAGCACCAAAATAATATTAATTCGTAAGTTATACAAACAGTTGATAAAAGGTTTTGCAATGTTTTTTGCATTATTTAGATTTAGATTTCAAGATTATTTCAACCTAAAATAAAACTGGGGGAAAAATAAAGGGGAAATCTGCAGTTTCTACATCCATTTTGGTATTTTTAAATTACTGATATGTACCCATTGATTCTTAAATAATATAACTTATTAATACCTAATGAGCTTAGTTCAACTGTCGTACCGCACCAGAACCCAACATATAAGCTTGTTTTGCTACAATGTTTGTAAACAAAGTACATGTAAATAAACACTACAGTATATAGCCTCAAAACATCGTTAAACTATAGTTTTAATACCATGGATGGGCAGTTCTTGCATCCATAGCTCTGTCTATGAATTTGAGAGTGGTTACATTTCTCCAGCCCAATCCCTCAGCTTTTTACCGAAACAGGGGTGGGGAAAACACTTTGTTATTGTTTCAACCGCTAATTGCCCCTTTAACTAGGATATTACTATCAACAATACATGTATAGCAGTATTTAAATGTGGTCTTTTTTTAAATACTGCTTTTTGTATTATTATGTTTCATTATTTTGAAGCACCCCGTTCTTTGAGAATAAAAGTGAAACTAAGCATGTTGAATACAGGCCATATTGTTGCATTAGCTCTGTGAGTCGGGCCAGCGGTGGGAAAGCTGACAGCTCTCTTCCCTGTATAGGGCAGAATGACCCTGTGTAGAACAAAACATCCTGTTCAGACACAACACTATGAACAAGCCCCAAACATCAACACTGGACAATTACACCCAATACAAATAGACACACTCCAACACACACACACAACGACCCAGGAAGTACTGCACGGTCACATGAGAAATACACAGACACATACCATCACTGACATCAGAAAGTGTAGGTGCAACGCTGATGGCCTAACAATCAATCAATCAATCAAATGTATTTATAAAGCCCTTTTTACATCAGCAATTCTCATAAAGTGCTTATAAATAAACCCAGCCTAAAACCCAGAACAGCAAGCAATGCAGATGTAGAGATCTTTGGCCTTGAGCGGTGAGGAGTAGACAGCTTAGTTTGAGCCGAATTCAAGAGGGGTTAGAGAGGATAGAGTGAGCCCAGAGAGGGTCAATAAGGTGGCTATGGAGGAGGAGAGAGGGGAGCAGAGAGCAGCCTTACCCTGGTTCCTGTGGGTCGGTGGGCTGTCCACACAGCCTGGGAGGTAGGCTCCATTAGGAAACACCCTGGACTGGCTTGGAGCTGGCTCCCCGAAGGCCCCAACCCGACAGGGGCCTGTCCCAGTGAACTGGCCAGAGAAGTGCAACGTGAAGGCCCCCAGGCCACAGTGAGGGTCCTCCAGAGGGTCCGTGGAGCCCCAGCCAGGCTCCTGCTTGATGAGGGAGTGATGGGAGGGCAGGGAGCCGTAGGGAGAGCCAGGGTGGAGGTCCAGGTAAGGTGCCCACTGAGGGGCACCCCCAACGGGCAGGCCACAACCCCCGCTGCTCACTGGTAGGGAGGGTACGGAGGGCACCGGGGGTAAGAGGGAGCTCAGGTCTCGCACGTCGGAACCCATGGACCCCATCATCCCATACGGCTCAGTCAGCATCATGGAGGGTGGCAGGAGATGGACCCTGAAAAACACAACCACCTGAGAAGCAGACTGGAACAGACTCCTGAAGCGCAGAGGGGAGGATAGTCCAAAAATAAAACTATATAACAAGCAACACTGGGTGTAAGAGCCTCCTAAGGAACAGTGAAGAAAAAGCTTGAAAAAAATTGACGAGGCGACTTCTCTTCTCTTCGATGTAATTCGATGCGATTTAACCTGAAACCAAATGCACAGTCAAACAGTCCACCAACGAAACATATTTTTTCCTTTTGGAACCTCTCTGTTTCAGTCTTTTTCAGCGATCGTTCAAAAGGAGTCGTAGAGTGTTCAGGTTGTCAGTTCAGTGGACAGGCCAGAGATACCTTGTGGATGGTGTGCTGCGTGGGAGTGTGTCTAGTAGTAACAGTGCCTTGTCTCTGAGTGTGATGTCTGCTTTTCCTTACACTGATGACGGCTCTACTGCCTTACTCACAGGCCAGGGGGAGGAGCCAGGACCGAAAGGGAGAATGGATGACTCCTTCACTTTATCCACTATAGACACACCATAGAGATAGATAGAGGACTCTATTGCCCAAAAGCCCATTTTAGCATGGGCAGCGCTATGGAGGACTTTCACCATTTTGAAGATGTCAACTGGGTGGGACTAGCTATGGGTTAAGGAAGGTCTCCAGGAGGGATCAGCCAATGAATTATACTTGTGAGCAAACATTCCGTAACTGCAGGGGGCACAACTTTGACTAGAGAGGGGGTGGCAGGTAGCCTAGCGGTTAAGAGCGTTGAGCCAGTGACCGAAAGGTCACTGGTTCGAATCCCCGAGCTGACTAGGTGAAAAATATGCCGATGTGCCCTTGAGCAAGGCACTTGACCCTAATTGCTCCTGTATGTCGCTCTGGGTAAGAGCATCTGCTAAATGACAAAAAAATTTAAATGTTTGTACCTGTTCAAACAACATGCTCCAGGTGGCAGTGTGCACCCTTTCAGTTTGTTTGCCAACTCATAGAAGTAGTAGAAGAAGAAAATGGACTACTTCAAAATGGAGATGGCCTCAATGGCCCTGCCTATCATAATGGGACAGATACAATGATGCCATGTCTTTCTAAGTCTATGAGGCAAACACACACTCACTAAGCTGCTTGTGTGTTTGCCTTTTTCATCACTTTTGATCAAAAGTTCTAAACATGGATTGTTCTAAACATGGATTGTTCTAAACATGGATTACCTTCATTTCCTTTTATTATGATATTTTTCCCACACAGAAAAGTCTCCCTAGGTCCGCAACATATGAGCTTATTGGACATTTTACAATTACACAATTAACCTTTTTAGCAGGCTATTTAAATATGTTAAGTAGTTTAAATTCTGTTTTGTTGGCTACAAATAACTCAAATACAGCAATTCAATAAAAGCTTCTGTTTGATCTGCTATATTGTCCACTTATTTTGCACAACTTTGTCATTCTTTTATATATAAAGATATATTACCAGTGTTCCGTTGGAGCACAGCACGCACCATTTTTTTTTGCAAAAGCTTCGTGTCAAACTTGATGACAGCTTTGGGAGAGCATGAGAGCTTTGCGAGGGCCCAGCTGCTCATCCGTGCGGGAGTGTTTCATCCACATTCCTCAAGAGACGTACTCGCTGCCAATAAGCACAAAATACAAAAAGATCAGCTCACAGTCAACATAAAAATCTACAAATAATACTTGTGTCGGTAGATAAATGCCACTATCATCGAAAAGTTGATCAAATTATTACAAAATATAGCGTCTAAATAAAAGCCAAAATATAATCTATTATTAGACTTTTTATGTAATTACAAATGGTTCCACGTTAAAATTATGATAGGCCTAAAAACATTTCCCGGTAATTATTTTAATTACTTATTAAATAACACAATTATTACGAATCTATTGTTATATAGGCCTACTTACTTACTGTGTAATGGGTAAAATTCACAATCCCCTTAAATAAATTTTTAAGAAATATGTAGGCCTAGTCTACAATGAAAATAATCGTTCATATTCACTTCTTGAACGAAACGAAATTCAAACGAATTATTCACTGGATGAATTGGATAATTTGAATTGGATGGAACTTTATTAAAATATATATTGACGCTTATGAGAGCATCTTCGCTGCTGCTGCCGTTTATTATTATACTGGTTGGCTTGGCAAGGAACGTTTATCTTTGACTAGAGAGGTGATGACCCAGGTTTGGATGGACTGGGACAAAGAGGAATGGAGTGACAGGATTCTGGAATTCTGGAAAACACCATAGCTTCTGAAGATTCATGAAGATTCAAAGGTTTCCCCCCACAGCAAATTCTCCAGTGTTAAATCAACGCTGAGAGTGTCAAATGTAACACTGGTCCAGTGTCTCTACTAGTCCATATTTTTCAGGTCAACCCCTTTCCAGTGAATTGTGGAGTTACCACCCATGATTGTTAGTGACAGAGACATGGTTGTTTTCAGTCCTGTGGCCGTCACCAAGTGAGATCCTAAGTGAATATGTAATCATTAAAATGAAATGATTTAACACAATACAACACATAATCCATAAGGCCTTATTTTGAGGGCCTAGTTTTACCCTAATACAGTGACCTGAAACTCATGGTTTACAGGCAACATCAGACCTGCAAGTCACATTATGCTGGCTAGCAAAGTGATGTGTAATTCGTATTGGAATCCAACCAGAGTGGCTATATGCAACATTTTGCATTTTTAGTCACCCGCAACCTGGATTCAGAATGACTGCCGGGTGGGAAGACTAAGATATGAGACTACCTAAAGCATCTAAACTGGAATAACCATTTCCATTACGGGTGTGATGAGTCCAAGTAACAGTTAGGATTAGTTTAGAATGTTTTTATTTATATTTGAGTAGCATAAGATGAATTAATCAATCAATGCAAAAACATAGATATTGAAACAAACAATTATAAAAACCAACCTGCAATAGAGCATGCTGGGAAATATGATAGTAATAGGCGTGGTTTTGGTTTAACACTGGTTATTAAGACCAACACTGAGATTATTTTACCCCAATGAGCTTTAATTTAACACTTAGAGTTAAAGATGCACTATGCAGAAATATCTCCTCCATTTCCTGGTTGCTAAAATTGCTAAGTTTGCCTAATTTCAGTTTATATGACAAAACAAGCAAGTGTAATTTAGAGAATCATTGTACCATCTAAAACCGCTGTGAAATATATTTTCCATAACCAAAAATATTGTATTTTCAGCTGTTTGAAGCTGGTGTACAAACCGAATGTAAAAGACACAAAAACTAAACTTAAAAAATGGAAAGCATAGAAATGGCGCACATAGAACAGATATACCGTTTCTTAGACTTGCTTTCAATGAGAACGACAGATCTATTATTCACATTTCTATGTGACTTTTGTCAGGTCGCCCAAAAAGTTTCATATTGCAGTTTTAATTTAACACCTGAATTACCACTAGAAATGTTACACTGAAAATTCAACACTAGGTAACACTGGCCAATTTGCTATGCCTCCTTTGGCTCACTGATAATATACCAACACACACGTGGAAAGAATTGATTAAAAAAAAAAGAGTAGTTTAGGTCATTTAAGGGTATCAAGGGCGTAGGTCCCGTATAGCTCAGTTGGTAGAGCATGGCGTTTACAATGCCAGGGTTGTGGGTTCGTTTCCCACGGGGGGCCAGTATGAAATATGTATGCACTCACTAACTGTAAGTCGCTCTGGATAAGAGCGTCTGCTAAAAATGTAAATGTGGTGTTTTAGAAAATACATGTAAAAAACAAACAACAACAGGTATTTACATTCACTTCCTGACTGAATTAAATACTTAATTGACTCCAATTCTGACACCAAGCCTCACTAATACCCTGCATCTAATACACATCAAAAGTTCCCTCATAATTTAAAGTGGCAATCTGCAGTTCAAACAACAACAAAGCGAATTGGGTAGAGAAATGTAACCACTCTCACATTCATAGATGTGGCTATGGATGCAATGACTGACCATCCATGATATCAAAATGATAGTTTTAACCATGTTGTGAAGCTTTATAGTGTTTGTTTACAATTACTTTAAAAACAATGGAGTAAAACATGCTTCTGTTTTGGGTTCTGATGGGGTTAAACAGTTGAACTAAGCTCATCAGGCATTTATAAGTTACTTGTATATTCTTCAAGAATCAATAGGTATATATTATTAATTTAAAATAGATGTAGCAATCGCACTTCAAGATGCATGACCCTAAACATGAGGCTCTTAATGATGATAATGTATTGAAAGAATGTCAAAGTAATCCAGCGGTTGCCACATTCCTGATGAAGGGAGTTGATGAGAAGCTCCACACCCTGTTTCTCCTATCATGACTGTGGCTTGCTGTCCACTGAAAAGCCACTTAATAGGTTATATCTGACTTTGCTCTGCATTGGTCTGGGTTGTGGGCTAGGCCCCAGCAGGATTAGGGCCTGCCTCAGGGAACTGCTACCCAGGAATTGAGTGAGGTTAGTGGGCCGCTTCTCGTCACCACCTCCCCTCCTACCACCACCTCCACCATGTGGAATTTCAGTCCGGTACCCTAGAGAAAGTCACTGACCTCTGATTCAACTTTTTAAACCTGGGGGAAGGAGGGAGGGGGAGAAAGGGAGAGGGGGAGAAAGGGAGAGGGGGGATAGTCTGTCATGAAAGGATAGCCCAGTGTGTCAGAGTGTGCTCTGTTTTATCATTATCCAGGGGATTAAAGCTACCGGAGAAAGTCCTCACTTTGGCATTAGACTGAGAAATACATACTGCAGACTCTCACAACCCTGTAGAAGTGAAGAAATCAACACGACGATACAGACAGCATACAACAACAGACAGGACAGATTCTTATATTAACACACTTCCTGTTGCTTGACTCAACAGACATGGAGTGCTGATTAAGCATTATTGCTGTTATTCTGTTTTCAGACAGTGTGACGCAACGGATGTCTCACTATGGCCTGGATGAAGAATGATCCTTTCAACGTTTTCCCTTTTCACGACGTTTGCGGAGTAAGTGTCACAGTTCCTATATGTGTTAGGTATTGTGGCAAAGGGACAGGTGGACTGGACACATAGAGGCTGATTCACTAACTGAGTTAGAGGACATATTTACTAAGAGTTTGCACCATGACCTGCAGTTGTGCAGTAATTGGTCATTAATAAATCCATATTTACGATAAATCCAGCACCATTTGAATCTATTCACGTCGTTGAAATGATAAGGTTGTGGTGATGAAGAGAACAGAGTGCTCTCTGACTCACTCCATTTCTGGGACAACATTTTTTGCGAAGGCAGATATCTCTCCCAAAGTAGCACACAGGCATTCTGAAGATGTCCAAGCAGCCATTTTGAAAAATAACAGTAAAATAAAAAGAATGCCTCCCAATACAATTCTAATGTATTTCTTCCCACCCACGGCAAACAACAAATGATCTGGGATTAAAACATGACTAGTCAATAGGTCTTCAGACCTCCCCCAAAAATATATTTCAGAGGAAAAAAGAAAACTATAAATTACTGACCCAAGACATATTACTCTGGCTATGCATTACCCAGTGGAGTAGTTAAGAGGGGTTCGATCAAAAGTGGCGAGGCCAGGAGAAACAGCCCGCCTTCAGAATCTATGACTGATAGCAGCCCCCCCAAATACCCTCTCAGTCCCCTGATCAATCTGTGGTTAACACCGGGTTTAAAACAACATCGCCTCCAAGAGGAAGGGAAATGGTCAGTGCTGCCTCTGACCCTGAACAGGGGATACATATCACTGAGCCAGATTGATCTAAGGCTCAGGTTAAAGTGAATGAAACGAGAAGTTCGGCTGTTTTCACATGGAGAAGTGATGTAACAAAGGGTGCCGTTGGCTTTGGTAGGACCTGATTGATTTACCACTTTTTAATTTAAACATGAAAAGGGACGCCCTTACAAAAAATGATTACAGTTTTGAAACTGCAGTAAAAGTGCAGTAACTGCAGTCGACTGTGGTATTTTGGACGCAGTTACTACATTTAAACTGCACTCTGACTGCAATATTTTTTGTAAGGGATGTTCACACTCACAGAGTACAGTAAAATGTTATATTTTACAACGGCATACATTATGCTCAGAGCACAAATCAGTTAGATAGAGGGACCAAGCAAAAGCCAAAGGTGCTGTTTTAGTGTTGCTGACAGCACCATAGAAACCCAGTGTACTAAGCACAGAGAAGAGCTGATAACGCCACACAGCCATGTGTTACAGTGAGTCATCAGTTCCTCCATATCTGCCTGTGGCCTCTGCCAAATGCATACAATGTAAAAAACAAAAGTCACTCAGAACAATGTTCCTGTATCTCCCTTCTCCTCTCTCACCACAGAGATAGTGACAGACAGTCAACAACATCAAAACAACTGAAGGTTCATTGTACACTTCAACATATCAATATGTACATCACGGCTGCCCAACCCTCTTCCTGGAGATCTACCGTCCTGTGGGTTTTCAGTCCAACCCTAATTTAACACACCTGATTCTACTTATTAGCTGCTCAACAGGACCTTAACTAGCTGAATCAGATGTGCTAAATTAGGGTTGGACTGAGAACCTACAGGACAGTAGATCTCCAGGAAGAGGGTTGGGCAGCCCTGATGTACGGTTGAAGTCGGAAGTTTACATACACTTAGGTTGGAGTCATTAAAACTAGTTTTTCAACCACTCCACAAATTTCTTGTTAACAAACTATAGTTTTGGCAAGTCGGTTAGGACATCTACTTTGTGCATGACACAAGTAATTTTTCCAACAATGCCTGAAGGTACCACGTTCATCTGTACAAACAATAGTACGCAAGTATAAAAACCATGGGACCACGCAGCCGTCATACCGCTCAGGAAGGAGACGCGTTCTGTGTCCTAGAGATGAACGTACTTTGGTGCGAAAAGTGTAAATCAATCCCAGAACAACAGCAAAGGACCTTGTGAAGATGCTGGAGGAAACAGGTACAAAAGTATCTATATCCACAGTAAAACGAGTCCTATATCGACATAACCTGAAAGGCCGCTCAGCAAGGAAGAAGCCACTGCTCCAAAACCACCATTAAAAAAGCCAGACTACGGTTTGCAACTGCACATGGGGACAAAGATCGTACTTTTTGGAGAAATGTAATCTGATCTGATGAAACAAAAATAGAACTGTTTGGCCATAATGACCATCGTTATGTTTGGAGGAAAAAGGGGTACGCTAGCAAGCCGAAGAACACCATCCCAACCGTGAAGCATGGGGGTGGCAGCATCATGCTGTGGGGATGCTTTGTTGCAGGAGGGACTGGTGCACTTCACAAAATAGATGGCGTCATGAGGAAGGAAAATTATGTGGATATATTGAAGCAACATCTCAAGACATCAGTCAGGAAGTTAAAGCTTGGTCGCAAATGGGTCTTCCAAATGGACAATGACCCCAAGCACACTTCCAAAGTTGTGGCAAAATGGCTTAAGGACAACAAAGTCAAGGTATTGGAGTGGCCATCACAAAGCCCTGACCTCAATCCTATAGAAAATGTGTGGGCAGAACTGAAAAAGCGTGTGCGAGCAAGGAGGCCTACAAACCTGACTCAGTTACACCAGCTCTGTCAGGAGGAATGGGCCAAAATTCACCCAACTTATTGTGGGAAGCTTGTGGAAGGCTACCCGAAACGTTTGACCCAAGTTAAACAATTTAAAGGCAATGCTACCAAATACTAATTGAGTGTATGTAAACTTCTGACCCACTGGGAATGTGATGAAAGAAATAAAAGCTTAAATAAATAATTCTCTCTACTATTATTCTGACATTTCACATTCTTAAAATAAAGTGGTGATCCTAACTGACCTAAAACAGGGAATTGTTACTAGGATTAAATGTCAGGAATTGTGAAAAACTGAGTTTAAATGTATTTGGCTACAGGTGTATGTAAACTTCTGACTTCAACTGTATACACTTGAATAATATCCCTACAATCTCTCCAACATTGGCAAACCTCCAAAAGTGACCCAGCAAGCTAAAGAACCTTAGCTAGAAAACACAATTTCCTATTAGTTTTTCCTATCAACTCTCAACACACTTCAAAGTAAACTGGGTATCAGAGTGGAGATAAGAAAAGAGGAGCTAGCGTGAGACACAGCACTGGTCTAGAGGCTGTCTGTTGATGGGTCACACTCCCTCCTGTCACCCCTACCTAATCTCCCTGCCTTAGTCTCTCAGTCCCCCACAACAAGATACAGCAGTTCTCTCTCTCTCTCTCTCTCCTCTCTCTCTCTCTCTCTCTCTCTCTCTCTCCTCTCTCTCGATAGGGGAGACTTCTCCTCTGATCTATATCTCGCTTCGCTCGCTCTCTCTCTCTCTCTCTCG